TTATATGACTGCAACTTTGCACCCTGCATAATTTCATCTCTCTTAGAATTCACCTGTCATCTCTCTCTCCTTGCCACTCAGTTCTCCTTGGAGACAGTGTCTTTTTTAGTATGAAAACTGATGCTCTTAGGAAACCTTTTTTTTACTGCAAGTTATTTTCTTCTTCCAGTCCAACCCAGCCCAGCCCTTTCTGCTTTTAAATGCTTATGTTTTTATACGCACCCTCGAGTCAGAAAAGTAAATATTTTAATCCCATCCATTTTTGTGTGTCCTAAGTAAAGTTTGAATTTCCCAGAGAGGACAAAAATGAATAGAAATAGTTGTTTACCTGCTGCAGGCATCTATATCTCCATATTTTTTTAATTCTGAATGTCTATAACTAGAAAAGTAAACATTTCCTCTGAAAATTGGGTATCCTGTTCATTGTGCCTCAAATAATGCTTTCAAATGTCAAAGAAAACTCTTTCATTTTGATAGATGGAAGGCTTTTACTTTCATCAACAATGAAATGGACTCCCTTGAAAGGTGGTAGAATCTTCTTCATTTGAGATTTTAAAGCAGATGTTGAATGGCCATCTGACATGGATGCTTTAGTTCAGATTCCTGCATTTCAGGGAGTTGAACTATATGACCATCAGGGTCGCTTCCAACACTACAATTCTGTTGTAGGATCTACAGCTTCAGCAAAAACCCCACAACAACCCAATATCATGAGGGAATATGAAACAGGATTCCTGGTAAACCTACTGCCAATCAGGTGCTCTTTTTCAGGTGTTGCTGACTCCAACTCCTATAATCCTTTTCTGTTGGCTATGCCAGGAAGGATTGATGAGGGCTGTTGATCAAACATCTTGAGGGCACCAGTTGTCTACCCCAGGTGTGGCATATTGACTGGCCTGTGAAAGATACAGTCCCTGGCTCAAATCTAATCTCTGCCGTGAATACGCTAAAACTCAGCTCTCTTATCTGTAGCTTTGTGATAATAATATTGACCAGGGATGTTATGAGCATTTGAAGAGCAGCGTATGAGCAAATATATCTCTTCAATGCCCATAAACACCAGTGGGGCAAATATCTCTGCTTACAGTCTAGCAGGGCCATGTTTACCATGGTACTGTGTCTCACTGCCCATGTCTCCTCCGTCTCCTGATTGAAGGCAAATAAACTTAACTTTGGACCGGTGAAGGGAAAGTAAGATGTGGTAGCTGCAGCTTTCCTCACTGAGCACTGGCACTAAAACAACACATCCCAGCATCCCCAGCAGGAATGTGAAACTCTATGAACAAGGGAATCTTTTTCTTGATGGCAACAGTGCACACAACATCATTTGCCAGAGATGCAGAGATTTGTAATCCTAAAGCCAGCCATCAGCAGGGAAAGGCATTCTAATAAGGGAGAAGGAAGCCGAAGTAATCATAACTACCCCTCCTGCCTTTAACTTCAACAATCTGTAGGTAAGTTTCTTCATCTTAAACAAGGTGTGTTTTTTCTCTTTTGAACCAGTGATCAATATTGTCTTAGAATATTTTCCACCTGTGTGTAGATCCTGAAAATAAAGTATATAAAGCAACTAGAAACTTGAACAGTTTTGCTAAATACAGGCTATCACCCATGTTGCTTTCCCAGCTACGTTTGAGAAATGACCTGTACAAAGGACAAAAGCAGCATGGTTGTTCATACTTTTTAAGTGAACTTGCAAACCCTGCTATTGACCACTCATATTCCTTTTGTTATCATATGCCTGTCCTTTGCCATTCTTGATGTCTGGGCCATACATAAAAAGAATGCTGGTGACATTTGCAAGTAAGTTTTCTCCCCAGCGTGGCTGTCAGTTGACACACAGCACAAAAATTGTTCCTTCACTACTCCATTCAAGCAGTACTGAAAAGCAATGCACAGCTCATCTGTATGAGAAATATCTGGTGTAGAATCAACAATAAGAGAAAAGGACTTTGCCTCTTCAATCTCCTGAATGGTTTTCATATGAACCAATTCGTAATATGTATCTGCAAGGAAATGTCTGAAACATAACTCTTCATTTCATTTCCATGATTTTTCAAGTGCTGCTCAAGAAAAGGATCAAAGTCAGCAATAATCTAAGGTAATTGACATTGTGGTGTGATCCCAACATCTGGCTGCCACCATATAATGGAAGTCCTATCCCCCCCCCCAAAAAAAAGATAATAGCGGCACCAAAACGCTTCAGCATTCCTTTACAATATTTTATTTCTTGATGCATCTGCCTTTCTCCACTGTGTTTGTTTTGTTCTTTCTTAAAATGCAGGTCATAATACATAATAGTGTGGAATGCTGTTTCCATGCTTCTTGATTTATATTTCACATATTCCCGCAAATTTGATAAACCTCCTTCCACAAAGGCAGTTTTTATCCCTCTAGATGAGTGAAACAGTTTGCAGGCAAAACAGAAAAAATATTTCATCTTGAGCAGAATATAACAACCACTTCTGGTATTGTTCCTCCCCATTTTCTAATACTCACACTTTAATTTTGAATAAACTTGTGCAGAAGTTTGAAATTCATACCTTCTGCTACTGCAGGAATTTTGAATTTCTTCAGTAATTTCTGAAAACCATTAAGCAGGATCCCTGTTCACATAAGGAAAGGTGAAAGGGATTAGATGTTCTGCGGGTATGTTAGACTCAGGAATACTGTCTACTCTGGTTTTGGAATTTGTGAGTTCTGGGCCACCATGCTATGACTGATTTTGAGAGGAGGAGGATCCCTAAGGAAATGCATGTCTTCTCCAAAGCCTCTTGGTATTCTTTCTGTGACAGGATGCAAGAAAGAAACAGAGACAGAAAGATAGAGTGTGTTGGAGTGTTTGGTATTTTTTCATTGCTTCTTCTGTAAGCCTCTTTGCCTTTCTTTTAGCAGATCCACTTTCAAATCATCATAAAGACATGGGACTCAGTGGCGCCACCAGACAAATTTTCTGAGGGTGGCACTGAAGGGGCAAAGTGCATTATGGGCAGGCAAGATCTGCCCCATGTTAAATTTCTGAAAGAGAAATAACAGAACGTTTCATATAATTTTCCCATGTCCTACCCTAAATATATTTTATCTGAAATATACCCTACTAACTGTGATTAAGTAAGTTTAGATGATTTAATTAATAATAAGTATGAATTATCTCAGCACACATCTACAGAGGGGGTGAGTAGTTAAATTCTATGTATGTCTTTAAAACAGAAGCTCCTGCTTTGAATGATTTGCACAGTTGCTTGGAATTTTCCCTATTCTCTATACCTTTCAGGGGAAATCCAATTATGCTTATGTATCCCTAATAGTGACCTATTTTACAGTAGTGTTTTTCAACCTCTTAGGTCAGGGATAGTTCCCTTAGGCCCAGGGGCCAATCGCCTTCTCAATCCGAACTGTGGACGGTCCAGGAATCAGCATGTTTTTACATGAGTAGAATGTGTCCTTTTATTTAAAATGCATCTCTGGGTTATTTGTGGGGCATAGGAATTCATTCATTTCCCCCCCAAAAATATAGACTGGCCCACCACATGGTCTGAGGGATGGTGGACCGGTCAACGGCTGAAAAAGGTTGCTGGCCCCTGTCTTGGGTGGTGTTGAACTACAACTCTTGTCAAACCTGACCATTGACTAAACTACCGGGAATGCTGGGAATTGTAGTCCAGCAATATACAGGGATACAAGGTTGGGAAATAATGCCATAAAGGGTTAGGATGTATGTGGAATACTTGAGTACTGTAAGGATTTTTTTCAAGAGTGAGTTATTATTACTACTGTCTTGGCCAAAGCCTATTTTATTTACTTATTTAAACGATTTATATATTGCTTAGCCGCAATTGTCACTAGGTGGTTGAATAAATATTGAAAATGGTATAGGAATATTGCCAAAGAAAGCCTGAATGAAATCAGAGTAAGGAAACTGGCCTCCTGAAAGATGGGGAGTCACGTTTTCACTATTGACCTGACAATGTAATTAGTGTACAAGAAAAGAAGTATTAGATTATCGAAGTTTGCTGTAAAATAAATAAATAACTGCTTGCAACTTGCTTTAGCGCCTTGGCTCTAATTAACTGATAAATAACTCATGCACCCCTATTTATCAATTAGAATCTAATTGTTCTTTGCTACAGGGTGGGACTATTATTAGCTCAGCGTTCTGTGTGTGAATGAATAGCTCTCTTTTAGTCCACAGAGACGTTGGCCTCGTTTTGACTAAAGCTGATCTATGCAAGACCAAGGAACGAAGCAAAACAAAACATAAAGCTGGAACAAGTACAAAACCTGAAGTGCACTTAGCCGTCTTGGATGGAGCAGCCTATACTTAGCAAGGAGCTTGTGAACTTGCAGACAACTGCAAAACCTCCAGAACCTTTTGTACACCTTCCAAAGACCAACAGGCTTGTCTGGTGCTCTCTCTGGGGAGCGAGATGGCTGCTGTTCTCCTAAGTGCTTATTATTTGGAAACAAATATTCCCTGCTCTCTAACAGAACAATTTATTTGAACAATTGCCCCCATTAGCCTCTTCTCGGGTGATCCATTTTAAATATCCTGAAGGAATGATTGTATGTCAGGGAATCTGCAGGGAAATAGCCTTGGTGTGCATCCAAAATTATTCAAGAGAATCCACCTCCATACAAAGCACCACCTTGTAATTATTTAACTTTTATCTGATTCTTTGTTCCTCAGAGCAGATTGCACACACCTCGCCCGTGCAGCCTCCCTGAATGAGCCAAGAGACCTGATTAGCTTTAACAATGCAGCCACAGTATAAGTCTCTCTCTGCGCACCCCAGAACAAAATCTCAATTATTTATTTAATGCATTTGTAGGTGTCCCACCCAATTTTCTTCAAGGAACCCAAGGGGAGCAAATGACTCACATTCAGGTACTTACTGAATCTGTTCAGTTCAGAGAAGCATTTACATTAGTCACCTTCCAGCCACCTTCTGGGGCCTAGAGGTTGCCCATTTGCTAATAGTATTGTTATAGGTTTTCTGGGAAGGGATGTAAGTCAGTGACAGAACATCTACTTTGCATGCACAAGGTCCCAGGTTCAATCCCTGACATCTCCAGGTAATGTAGGGAGAGATCTGAAACCATGGAGTTCTATTGCTGATCAGTGCAGGGATAGTCAATTTTGGTTTCTCTGCCATTTTTGACTTCTCATTTTCTCCACATTGCCACATCAGTTTGTCAGCATTTCAGTGCCACTTTCTCCTAATAGAAACATCTCCTACTACTGTTTCCAGCAGCAGTTATCCAGAAGCACTACTGCCTCCAGAGCATAGCCATCATGCTTAGTAGATGTCCATAGTCTTATTCTCCAGAAATTCTGTCCAACCCTCTTTTAAATCCATCCAAGTTGGTGGCCACCGCTGCTTCCTGTGGCAGTGATACCCACAGTTTACCTGTGCTCAATGTTCAAGCATTATGAGAGAGAGAGAGAGAGAGAGAGAGAGAGAGAGAGAGAGCACATCTTTTCTCTACACAGTTTCTATATGCCATTCATAATTTTATAAACTTTTATCATGTCACCTCTTACTTGCCTTTTTTCTGAACTAAAAGGTTTCAAATGTTGCAACTTTTCCTCATAAGGAAGTCCCTCCATTGCCCTTGGTCATTTTGGTTGCTTTTTTCCAACTCTACAATATCTTTTTGAGGTGTGGTGACCAGAACTCTACACAGCATTTCAAATGCTGCCGTGCCATGGATTTGTACAATGGCTTTGATTTATATAACAGCATTGTTCACAGCGGGTGGCGCTGTGGGTTAAACCACAGAGCCTAGGACTTGTCGATCAGAAGGTCAGCGGTTTGAATCCCCACAACGGGGTGAGCTCCCGTTGCTCGGTCCCTGCTCCTGCCAACCTAGCAGTTCAAAAGCACGTCAAAGTGCAAGTAGATAAATAGGTGGGAAGGTAAACGGTGTTTCCATGCGCTGCTCCGGTTCGCCAGAAGTGGCTTAGTCATGCTGGCCACATGACCTGGAAGCTGTATGCCGGCTCCCTCGGCCAATAAAGCGAGATGAGTGCTGCAACCCCAGAGTCGGCCACGACTGGACCTAATGGTCAGGGGTCCCTTAATTGTTCACATAATGCTTAAATATGTTTTGTTGTTACATCTGAACCAACCCCTAGAAACTTACCTCATTTATCTTAGCCAAAGAGATGTCACCTAGAGTCCATTTCCTACCTCACACATTGCATGCTTTACAGCAATTTCTAAATATCTCGGTTTGAGAGTGGCAGGGATTGCAGTTATTCCTTACTTATCGTTTCCCTCCTATAATTGCTTGAGGTCATCCTTGTCATACATATGGAACGCATCAGCTTTTCCATTGCCTTTCCGCCCCTCCCTCACATGGTTATTTTCTTATTTATGCCCAGTTAAATTGTGTAATTAAATTCCTCCATTACTGAAAAAGGAGTTGGAGGGGGAAATCATTCATATTCATTTGAAGTGTAATTAAGATTACTTAATTATTATTAAGCAGGCTTTTGTTTTGAGGAAATGTTGCATTTCATTTGCTGCATGAAAATTTCATGTTTCCTAAGTAAAGCAGACTTTTGGGGTGCTTTTGATCTACATTTGTTTTCTTTGAGAGTTTTAATAGTTTTTTATAGTTATCTTTTACACACACAAACCCATAAAAGATAGCACACACACACACACACACACACACACACACACACACACACATTATTTAATTTCTTCATGATATGCAAACTGCCTTGGGAACATTTGCAATCAAAGCTGATATGGAAATGCACTTGGAACAACTGTTTATATAAAGAAATTATATGGGGGGGGGAGGGAGGGAGAGAGAAAGAGAGAGGGGGGATATAATGCAAGGTAGGAACAATCTTCTAGGGAACCTGGACTTCTTGACTCAGTTTAGGGTCTGATTTCCACAAAGCTTACCATGGAGAGTGAGTCCATGTGTGCATGGCCCAGAAAGAATGGGATCCTACCCAAGTAAGATTAGGAATCCCGAGTTTCTGTCTCGACTCTTACCCCACTTTACACTGATTTCTTCACTTATTAACTTGGAAATGTGAAAATGCTATCGTTAATTAATACCTGGATTTCTAGCTAAGCAACGAACGGTGAGCTTCTTTTTCACATTTTGCTGAAAGGTTGACTGAATGGTAGAAGCAGATGCCGCAGATTAAGTGCGCATGGTGCTAAATCAACAATTCCCTTTGTTTTGACACCTTTTTCTTCCCTTTGTCCTCTCACTATGGCTTGTCAAAAGATCTGTGACACAAAGATTTCCACATGAATATATTTCCAAGGTTTCCTCTTCAGGCCAGTTATTTAAGATAATCCCCCCCCCCCGCAACCAGGATCAACCCTGTCTCACATCCTAGTGCCTCCTCCCCGTCTCCTTTACTAGGCCATGGATGTCTTCATTATTTATTACTTTTCTGCATGACTTTCAAGGCATCTAAACTCCTTTGGAATGAGAGATGACTGCAGACAGTGGCAATTAAGATTCTCAGCACGTTCCCTTCCTTTGGCCTGTTTGATATAATGCCGTGCGTTCCCCCTCCCCTTTGCATTTCTCATGGAATTCCTCCTATATTTCAGTTCACTAATTGTCAGGGCATGCTAGCATTGCAGAGTTTCCCTTTGACAGAAGGATACTATTTGGCACAGAGAGAAGCAAGGTAGGCAGGGAAATGCTGGATCCTGAATGCAGCAGGCATTGTCTACTTTGACGCTCTCTAAGGCCTGGCGCAAATCCAGGCCATTGTAAAGATTACCCATCTAGAAGCAAGCTAGTGAGGAAACAAAATTTCATTTCTAGTTTCTTAGCTCTTTACACAAAAGGATGACATGCACTTTTGCAAGCATCTGCCTTTGCTTGGTTAGGTAGCTGTTAACTCTGTGGCTTTAACTAAGCCTCTTTGATCTGACGGCTTCATAATATTGATTATATTAAAAACACACCTGTGAGAATCATTCACGCTTTCATGTGAATGGAATCAAAGAGCGAAGCAAAACAGTGGCACTATTCATTAAACTGAAAGGCGAAACGAAATTAGTGGATGGCCTTTCGCTATTGATAGCTTCTCCGTCTAGCTTTCATATGAAGGGGACAGTTTCGCTTTCATATCTGTCCTCTGATGTTTGAATTTCAGATTCATCTGCATTGATTCAAAAGTACATTGTCATACTTGCATACTTGCCTAATAAGACACAGGCCTTTGACAGATTCAGTTCATCCTTATGGGTTATAGTTCCCTGCTTGACAAAGTCATTTAAACAAATTATTGATAGGTTGAGTAAACCCAAATGACCACCTTCTCTGATTCATGGGGAAGTGTGATCATCTTTATGAGAATGCTGCTTTCATTCTTTGGGCTGACGTATGCCTAGAGAATATTGGCTCTTTCTCCACCTGTGTGAATATATATGTATATTTATAAAGATAAAGATAGATATCATGGTGGCAACATCCCTTCTATGTATCTAATATGTCTATCACAGTTATAGCCCAATGAGTTCAAGGCAGCAGACTTGGTCCCCCCTCCCCTTTTATCTTCATAGCATTCCTGAAAAGTAGAGTAGGCTGATAGATGGTAACTAACCCAATGTCTCTTCACTGCCTTTCATGAATGATCACAGATTGGAACCTAAGCCTTTGCATTCCCTACCCACTATGGCACATTGAACCTCTAATTATATCCACTGAAAAATTCAAGCACTAGTTGCTGGTAGTGGCATGTATACCTATATCAGGCTTTCTGGGGTCTCTGGGTCCACGCTGATCCTGATTAGGGCACACGAAGATTGGAATCATTTTGGGAACTTCAGTTGAGGAGGAAGATTCACAAAAGATGACCTCTCAGGTAGAAAGCCTGGTGAAAAATATATGGAAATCCTTTAGCTATAGAATTCGCTGTGAATGCATCTAACTGTAAAATAATCAGTAACCTATCCAATTGCAAACGGAGAGCTATGGCTTATAAACATTCTTTAATATTGCCTGTCTTAGAATGATTTCTGTGCCCCAGTCCCACCGTATAGTATTCAGTTTATATTCTCTGTGCTTCCATATGCCAGTTTCTGTAAATCTAGATTGCTAAATCAGTATATTGTATAAGTGTGGCTTCAAGCAGATCTTATGTCTCAATTGTGTTACATTGTAGGCAGGCCACAGATGCTAGTAATAGTGTAATTTCATTAGGCTATCCCAGGGACTATTCATTGTCCAGTACCTAAGGCTGCATGGAATTTAAAGATAAGGAACTGCTAAGCAAAGGAGAAGTGAGTGCTATTTGTATCTCATATCTTGATATTATTGTGGTAAAAATAAAAAAACCTCTGCTGCTTATTCTCATGTACAATGTAGCCCAAAGATGTCTACAGAAAAGTAAACCCAATTAAGTTTAAGGAAGTGTATTTAGTAGCACAGCCCTTTTAAAAAATATTTCACACCTTGCATGATCTTGTACAGAATTTAAAGCAAGCATCATACCAGACTGCTATTGTTCACCAGTCACATCTACATGACATTGATAAGAGGGCTAAACCAAAAGCTGTGTGTGTAGAGGGGAATCCTGGAAGAGGATTTTCCAAATATTTTCATCAAATGCAAGATCAGACATTTCAGGAACTATTTTGCCCTCTTAAGAAGCAAAACATTTGCTCTGAAAATGTTTCTGGGCAAAAATTTAGTGCTGCCCTGGTTTTGAAAGAGGCAATGTGCACCCAACATACCTACAGGTCCTATTCTCTAGGTCTGTACCCAGAAGAAAAAAAACTGTCCCTTAATTTCCCCACAACACTGTAGAATCCAGGTAGGTCATGCTGTCCCTATGCCCCCTCAAGCCACTCCCACCCCTCACTCATTCAAGATGGTCCTCAGGGGAGACTCCAGGGAACTTGAAGTGCTACCAATGGGAGAAGGAGACATGAAAGTCATCTTCTGCCCACACACCCTGAACCCAAGCCTTTTAAGTTTAGCATTTCTTCCAATATTGTTTAATCTACTGCTTTAGGTGTCTCGAGGTTCTTTCCACTATTCTCGAACCACGTGCAAGTTTATCAGATGCAATATATCCAAA